TCAGGCTCAAGGCAATGAGGGCTGCAATGGTGGCCTAATGGATAATGCCTTCCAGTAGGTGAAGCCCAATGGAGGCCTGGACTCAGAGGACTTCTATCCCTACCAAGCAAAGGTTGGACCCTGCAAACACAGGCCCGAGGATTCTGTGGCCAATGCCACTGGCTCCGTGGACATCCCCGAGCAGGAGAGTGCCCTCATGAAGGCAGTGGCAACCGTGGGGCCCATCTCTGTTGCTAGAGATGCAAGCCGCCTTCGCTTCCAGTTCTATGAAGATGGCATTTATGATGAGCGGCCCTGCAGCAGCGTGGGTCTAGGTCATGGCGTTCTGGGGGTTGGCCAAGGCTTTGAAGGAGAAGACTCTGTAACAATAAATGTTGGATTGTCAAGAACAGCTAGGGTGAAGCTTGGGGCAAGAAGGGCTACATAAAGACCGGAACCACCACCATGGAATCGCCACCGCGGCCAGCTACCCTCCTGTGTGAGATGGCGATAAAGAGAGCACTGATTGAGAACAGGATATCCAGAGGAGGCATTTCTATCTTAAAACTGACCACATTTTACTTAATGGGATACAGCACTTGAATCTTGACGATCCAAACTGATTTGAATTCAGTGATGTTTTACATTGGTGAAAATTTTATCATTTCTTTTATAAGGATGTATAAATTGTTACCTTTTTATAAATAAAACTTAATTTTTATTTTTTTAAAAAAAGAGAAAGATTAAGTGACACTTAATATGGAGAAGCTAGAAACTGTATCAGATAGTCCTGCCCCCTTATTTTTTTATCTCTAACCTAGTAAATAAATCTTTTAAGAAATTCTTCCAGTTTTTAAAAAAATCCAGCCCTAGCTGGTTTGGCTCAGTAGATAGTGTCAGCCTGCAGAGTGAAGGGTCCAGGGTTCAATTCCAGTCAAGGGCACATGCCTGGGTTGCAGGCTCGATCCCCAGTGGGAGGCGTGCAGGAGACAGCTGATCAATCATTCTCTCTCATCATTTATGTTTCTATCTCTCCCTCTTGGAAATCAATTTATTTATATATATATTTATATATATATATATATATATATGTATATATATATATATATATATATATATATATATATATATATATATCTCCAGACCCTTTTACTATATAGTTTAGGCTCATGAGCTCACTTTTCCCATCAAAATTTGAAGAAAAAGAATTAAACTTACTTTTTAGCCATAAATATAAGAAAAATTAAAACTATATTTTAATTCTAAGAAGCTGAAGGAGAGTGTTCTGGGAACCTTACGGGAACCTTACACTGTTGAAATCCCCCCAGCCATGGACTGGAGGGAAGATTTTAAAAATCAATGGCAGGTGCTCTGGCCCAGGATCCCAGCTGGGGAGCACCTCTCAAGGATCCCTCTGCCTTGCTGGTCCAGGTCCAAGTGTGTCTCCTGCCACCCCATCTTTGAAAGCATTGCTAACAGATGGAGCCATGGAGCTTACCAACAGCGGTCCTCCAGGAGGAAGAGGAAGTGCCATCGAGGGAAGTCCACCTGGAGCAACAGGAAGCACTGGCCTTTGACAGGGCACCCAGAACTCGGTCCAAAAACAGGAGAGGGTGTATGCGGACAACTTTCCTCTACGACCCAGGCTGGCCAGACCCGCTACGTTCCTGAACGTGGAGGATGCTATGGAGCTACAGAACATCTCAACTGGAAGGAGGTGAAGGCGGCCGTGGTGCACACGACACAGGCCATCGCGATCACCAGTGTCATGATGTTTATTGGATTCGTGGTCAACGGCCCGAGGGGACTGGCCATTGGGGGCGCCGCCGGGGGCCTGGATGTCATGGGGGAAGTTTAAGTCTGACCCTCAGATACTCAAGGAGAAGGAGAAGCTACACAGGCAGCCAGGTCATGGCCATCGCCAGGGACCTGAACGGAATGGACATGAAGGAACCGACTAAGCAGGTCATGACCAACAAAGCTGTGCAAGAGAAGCTGCTGGAGCTGACCATGGCTTCTTCACCAAGATGCTGGAGACTATCTTACCAGTTAAGTTCAGTGAACAGAGCATCAGCCTGTGCCCTCAAGGGTACCGGGTTCCATTCTGGTCAAGGGCATGTACACCTTGGTTGCGGGCACATCCCCAGTGGGGAGTGTGCAGGAGGCACCTGATCAATGTTTCTAACTCTCTATTCCTCTCCCTTCCTCTCTGTGGAAAAAAAAAAAAAAAAGAAAAAAAAATCAATAAAATATTATTAAAAACAAAATTTTTAAAAAAATCAGTGGCAGTTTCCACCTTTGTTTGAACACACAAAATATGCCATGAGAAACTTAACATCACAAAAGCACTGTGACAAACCATGAGAAAAAAGATTACTGAAGTCAGACATGTGGTCTTAATTTTGTATTTTTAAAAATCAGCATGTGAAAAACAGAATGTTTTAGAAGCTATGTGAAAATCCACCACCCCAGGGAGGGAGGAAGGCAGCGGGCTGCTGGCTAAGGGCACGGCTGTGCGCGTCCCTTCCCAGCTCCAATGTGGTCGCTAAGATCAGCCCTACGGGGAGAACTCACACAAGGGAATCAGCAAATGCTACAGAGAAGGGCTTCTTTTCCCCTTCAGAGAGCCTGGCAGTTAAACAGTTTCCAGCAAACAACTGAGTAGATATGGACCAGAGCAGACAAAGAGCTAATTAAGATCATCGCAGCAGATGTCTCAAAAGACTCATGCAGCCACTCCCCGATCTTAACTTAGGCTACCTCTGCCCACCAGCATTCATCCTGGCAAAGTGACTCGCGATGGATACCAGCGGCAGCTACCAAATGGAAGTCCCTCCAGTGTGCTGGTCCGCAGTGGCATGTCACTCCATGGATGTTAAAAAAAAAAAAACATGACGCTGAGACATCTCCAGGGTGGAGGTAGTTTACAAATAGAACTTGAGCGAAGGTTGTAAACTTTCATTTAAAAAAGGACACACACACACACACGTGAGCGTCCCAGATTAATGGATCTCACATAGAAAGAAGGTCACCATCAGCCTCCTAGAGGCCCACACCACTCAGAGGCCTCCAGGATAGGTTTATGGACCGAGGGTTCACCAACCCTCGTTCCTAGGAAGTTGCTCTGAATCAGTTCCAATGGTGTCCTCGCTTCCCAGGCACCCCTGTGCTGAAACAGTTCATTATTAAAGAGAGCATCTGGGAAAACAAACCAATGGCTTTTCTCCTTTAATTCCAAAAGATATGTTTTGTGCTTCCACAATTTTAAATATCTAATTCAGTCAACCCATCAATATTTACTTATTGCCCTACCTGGCTTGGCTCAGTGGATAGAGCATCAGCCTGTGTACTGAAGGGTCTCAGGTTCAATTCCGGTCAAGGGAATGTACACCTTGGTTGTGGGCATATCCCCAGTGGGGAGGGTGTGGAATACAGTTGATTAATGTTTCTCTCTCATCAATGTTTCTAACTATCCCTCTTCCCTTCCTCTCTGTAAAAAATCAATAAAATATATTTTAAAAAAATTATTCAATGTACAAAATGTTAACCTAATAAAACTATTCCAAAGTGCTGCTGAGAGGTCCACCTTCAAACAGGCATGCGAAATAAATGATGCAGGGTGGAGGGAGGGGGAGAGGGGAGTCCGGGGAGTCTGTCTGCATCCCTGCTGAACACCACGACCTCTCAGCATGGCTACTGCACGTCTCGGGGACAGACCCCAGCTGAGACCCCGAGGAAGCAGGAATGGGTCTCCCGTGCTCCGAATGCAAAGGCAGCTCCCTGAATACCATCCCTCAGCCATCCCTGCGCAAGCACAGCCGTCTCTCACGAGCGCTTCTCCTCCCTGGTGTACACACACTCACAGTCTGTACACCTGGAAGGTGCTGGTGTGTGTCAGGGTCCTTCTGAGCCCTCAATTCTTTATTCCCTCATTCCATTTAGTTCATGCGATTGAATTATAGGAACTATTTCTAGGGTTAAAAGACTAGTTTAATGGACAGAGAGGTTGGGGGGGAGGGGGGCGCGGGAGGGGTGGCGGCCACATATACTATCTAATCCTGGACTTAAAAGCCAAGATTTTTTCAAAAGATTCCACTGAGACATTGGTATCAATTCGGTTTAGGGGATCAACAAAGCTGGCACTGATTACCATAAAGGAGTATTTTATAAATTTGGTACTCTTGAGACTAAGGCCCGAATTTTCCCCTACTAATGAGGACCATCTAATTCTTGTGCATGGGAATTCCCAAAGGAATTCTGCTCCTCCCTGATTTAAAAAGAACCAACCGTACAAAGACATCAGCACACCTTTACCTCACTGCGGATCTGGAGGCTTCTCATCTTTCTAATTACAATTTCATAACTGTCACGGCCTCTCTCAACATCACATTTAAAGGAAGATCAGCATACGGTAGAAAATGAGGCGCCAGGAACAGAAACGAGAAAGGGTCCTTCGTACAGGGATGTATCCTTGAACTGGGAAAGGCCACAGATGCTGTTTCAAGTTATTCACCTGGATCTTTTACTCAGAGATGCCTCCAAATCTCAAAGCCCGGGCTTATTCTCCTAAAAGCGTCGCCCACGGATGTGGGACTGGAACACCCCGCCGCGAGCAGCCACCTTTTCTGTGGAGACGGGGCCCCCTCTTCTCACTGGCTGTCGCAAACAGTGTTAAACCCCAGGTTGGAAAGTCTCCCTCTGCTGAAACGGACTAGCTCCACGCTCTGTAGACAGGCCCAGACAAGATCGTACACGTGTGGCTGAGAGACCCTCCTGAACAAACATGTTAAGTAGGAAGCGTTTCCGCAGAGTTGCTTCTCATTGGTCAGACTCCACAGCAATCCAGAGCACCGCTCCAGTCTTCCTCCGTGCGGACAGAAATGTCTTTTTCCTCTCCTGTTTATGCATAGCTCACTTCTCATTATCCAACAAAGCACACTTAGTCTTAGAGAAATGGCCAATTTCGTTTAACTAATATTTCTTTAAATAATATGCTCAAAGCATGATTTTTTTTTTTTCCCCTGACCAAAGGGTCCCAAGAAGGGCAGTTCTTAACTGCCCTGGCAAAACATAGCTAGCTGCTAAACCCCACCAAACATTTCCTTAACACAAAGCTCAAGTATCTGTTAGAAAAATAAAAGAAAGAAAAAGAGGGAGGTGGAGTTCAGACTCCACTTAAGGCATTGTTAAACACAGTCCAACTTGAGTCTTCTTGGAAGGGAATCCTAAAAAGGCACTTTGACGGGAATAGCAAAAACCACGAGAGTCTGTTACCAGCACTGTGCAACCGTCCACCACTCACTCCGAAGGCAATCGTGTGGAGGGGCCCTCTGTGTCTTTATTCCTTGGTTCTCTCTTTCTGCAAGTGCGTCGTTATGTCTTCTGTAGATCTGGGGAAAAGGGGCCAGGGGTGGAAGGCCCATCCAGGCCAGACAGAGTGAACGGCCCATGACTGTTCAGAACAGAAGGAAACTGAGAAAGAGAAGAGAATACATTGTCATCCTTTGACTCAACCGAATGTTCACTTTCCGTCCCTTCTATGTTTCCTGAGCCAGAAGATGACAGCCATCAGCAGTGGCTCATAGGACAAAGGCAGTAACTGTTCATCATGAAAGAGGATGATGTCATAACAAAACTTTAAAGAAAAGAATGTTGCCCAGCTGGCGTGGCTCAGTGGTTGACCATCGACCTATAAACCAGGAGGTCGAGATTCAGTTCCGGTCAGGGTACAGGCCTGGGTTGCAGGCTCGATCCCCGGTGTGGGCCATGCAGGAGGCAGGTGATCAATGATCCGCTCTCATCCTTAATGTTTCTCTCTCCCCCTCTCCCTTCCTCTCTGAAATCAATAAAAATTAAAAGTTAAAAAAAAGAAAAGAATATTAAATATTAATACTCTTCAGCTTGCCCTGATGGAATGCAAAGCACAAACCTACACCTTTCCTCATATCCAAAGGTGCACAGGATGGCATTTAACTTCAGTTGAAGGTTTTAGAAAGGTTGGTCAATAACCCTACAGAGTATATTCAATCACAAGGCAAATCGCAGACTGTCCAAAAGAGATCCAGAAAGAGACACCCACCTGCTAACTCTTTAACGGTGCAAACAGTTACAGGGTGCTCATCGGAGAGGAGGGTTCCCCATCATATATGTGTATTTTTAAATTTCTCTATTGATTAAGGTATCACATATTTGTCCTCATCCCCCCATTCCCACCCCATCATATATTTTGAGGCCAATTCTAGAAGGAGATTCTAGGCCGAAGCCACCTGAGCAGGACTTTGCTTAAGGTCTCAGATCCCTCTATAACGCAATCACTGGTTTGCAAGAGGCAAAGAAAAATGAAACAAAGAAAATTCTCAACTTTTTCTACTCAATAATTTAGAACTTTTTGTCAAAAAGTGCAGAAGTAGGAGTATTTTTAAGTTGTTTTCTTCTTTAACATTTCATTTTCATAAGAATTAATGAAGAGTTAAATCACAAAAACATAAGAAAATCCTCCAGGGAGTCACCTCTAAATAGTAGTAAATGAATCAACCATAAGAAAGCCTACCAGTTAAAAAGTCTAGATGTTCTGGGCAAAATAATAATTAAAAGCTGTGAGACTTTTCCTAAGATCTTGCTTAAGAGATAATACAATAGTCATTTAAAAAATATATTTAAAATGTTAATAAATTTGTCTTTTGAGGGGGAAATGGGAGTATTTAATACATTATCAAGAGTTTTCTCTATTTTCCCCCCCTAAAATCCCCTCCACACACACATACATTTCATCACTGTAGATTTTGAGACTATTCAGTTTTTTATCACTTTAAAACTGTAGAAATCCTTTTTGATTAGGAAAAACATGTATACACACAGATATTCATACAAATACACATGCACATATTCATACACACACATATATGTTGTGTGTGTGTTTGTATGAATATATGAAATTCAAAACCAAAAGTAAAGAATATTTATTAAATAGGAGTTTTATACAATATAATGCTTACACCAAAGCAGGAGATACTGTGTTTCTGCCTCTCTCCCCGTTCACCATGCCCCCTTACAAGAGACGGGCTTTACGCCACTTACCTGGAAAAGTGTGTTAGCACCTTGCAGCCTGGCTGGGCTGAGGGGAGCGACAGGGCTGAGGGTGCTCCAGAAGTGGATGCTGGAGAGCAAGGGGCTGGGAGTCAGTAAGATGGGCGTCTGCAACACACAAAAGCAAAACATTCACTGAGCGGCGCATCGGGCTTATGCTTTCTCCTGGTGATAATACCACAGCCCGGAACCCGAATACTGTCCTCGTCACTACATCTCTCCGCGTCTGACATTTATATACTCAAAAGTTATTTTTTACATCTTAAGAAAAAGTCCAAATATTTTCTAACCTACTTTTTGTAGGGTCTTTCTCAAACAGAAAAACGAATCTGAATTCAGCTATGGAAAAATAGCGGGTAACTGAGTCACAAACGTAGTTTTTCCTTAATAACGAGGTGGTCTGTGAGCGAGCCATCCATTTAAATGTTACACGTAAGCAAGTTGAGATTATCCCTGTTTGTTTGTTTTTAGTAAGATTTTTATACGAGGAAAAAAAAAGAGAGAAAGAATACTTATTTTCTATAGAAGGAAGTGGAAAGCCAAAATATTTCTTTACTTGTAGAACAATGAATTATTTAGCACAGTGCTCCAAACCTTCTGTGTTGGTGATCCTAACCAAGATAAGGAACTGGGTGACTTTCATGGGGTCATTTAAAAACCGAAATAGCAGCTGAAACCGGTTTGGCTCAGTGGATATAGAGCATCGGTCTGCGGAATGAAAGGTCCCAGGTTCGATTCCAATCAAGGGCATGTACATTGGTTGCGGGCACATCCTCAGTAGGGGGTATGCAGGAGGCAGCTGGTCGATGTTTTCTCTCTCATTGATGTTTCTAGCTCTCTATCCCTCTCCCTACCCCTCTGTTAAAAATCAATAAAATATATTTTAAAAATAATGATAATAAAAAATAAAAACCGAACTAGCAGAATGAAAACTTGAGGTTAAAAACCTGGCTTTGTTCGGGAAGGCGAGTGAACACAGACCACGGTGGCACGGGAGAGAAGGAAGGAGCTACCTGTGAGAACAGTGCTGGCGTCAGGGACGCTGTGGGGAGAGAGGGGCTCAGGATGCCCAGGGGGCTGGGGTCGCTGCCCGTGATCAGGAGGATGGGGGCCAGCTCCAAGCCCTTGGGCTTCTTGGATCTGGATGAGCTGTTTGTCCTGTCCTTTCCCGGCGAGGCCGAGTCCTGGTCCCTGGGCTCCAGCGCCAAGCTCTCTGGCAGCCCCACAGGCTGCGAGGCCACGGAGTCGACGTCCGTGTCGATGTCTGGGTTGGAGCTGAGCGGCGGGGAGGGTGATCTCGGGGGCTCCTGGAAGGAAGGGGACGGGACGGGTGTGCTGGGAAAGGCCGGGGCTTCCAGGGAGGGGGACGCCAGCGTCTCCAGCGCTTGCAGAGTCTCCTCCGGAGATGGGGAAACACCGGCGCCCGCTGGAACGGGGGCAGCGACGGGATCCACCGGTGGCTTTGTGGAAGGCGTTGTTACGAATTTAATGACGGACGGTGCTGGCTTCTGAGATTTCTTCTCTGCCAGTCTCTCGGCTGGGTTCTCCATCTTTATAGACTTGAGGAGCTTCCTCTTGGAGGCGTTCAAAGAGTTGAGGGTAAACGAGGAATACAAGCCGGAGTGGATGTAGTCGTTGCGGCTGGAGGCCTTGGCACCGGCCTGCGGGGGCCGCTCCTTCCCTCCGCTCTCCGTGTCCCGGGAGCCGCCGCCCACCTCACCGGCGCTCAGGGCCTCACAGTCCCCCTCGATCCTGCCCACCTTCATCGGGTCCATGCTCAGAATCTCTGGGTAAGAGACGAATTTGTACACAAACTTCTGACCGTTCACCTTCTTTATGATATTCTGTAGATAGATAAAAAGCATTCTTATACTTTCTTATAATCTCATCTCGAGTAGCGCGTGAAAAAAAACTGACCTAATGGTGTCCTCCGTGTGACAAGCAGTTTACTTCAAGCTTCCAATTCATCCAACATCCTCTAAGTTACTACCTCGTCACACTCACCACAGTGCCTACTGTTGTGGAGCGTAAGTTAAGAGCACTTACATGTCGTATTAACAACTGTAGTGAATACATTACATAAAAGCTGATTGTAATTGCTTAACGCCCTCAACCAATGACCTGTATTGTCAAAAATCGCTGACCTACACACAATCTACAATAAGTCCAAAGGTACAGGCCATACACATGCAGAGCAAGCAAAAAGGAATTGAAAACATCACTTCTACTAAGGTTCCTACGTCCTTCAAAAACTCCAGTTGTTGCTTTTACTCGTGTCTCAGACAGCAAAGCTGATAAGACCAACCACTTAAAGGTGAAAGAAATAAAGATCTCAGCTTCTCATTCCAGTTCTATCCATTTGAGTCACTTATTTTACCTCAGGGCCCAATGTGTATTCAAAATGAGAATTTAAAATTTTAACTAAGAAGTCAATTCTATGGGTAAACAGGCATGTATTAATTGTGTTCTCTGGATTAAATTAAAAAGTAAAAACTAAGTAAAGCTAAGAAACAAGTGCCTATGACAATTTTTAAAGTAAATCATGATATACAAAATAATATTTATCCTCAAGAATCTCAAATTTCTTTTTCCTTATTTCAACCCTATCCTTACTTTTCCAGACAACTGTTTGGAATAAAATAGATGCAATGGGGTGGGGTACTGAATAGCAGTTTGCAGAAAGACAACTGGAACATTTCTAGCCCCCATCTTAATTCCAAACTGTTCAAGTTATAAAATAAACTGGATTAAAATAAACCATGACAGTGATCATTTTGATATTTGAAACAAATATCAAATCATGTTGTATACCTGAAACTATTTCAATTATATCTCAACTAGAGGTCTGGTGCACAAAATTCACGCACAGGTGCGGTCCCTAGGCCTGGCCGGAGATCAGGGCTGATCAGGTTCCGCCCCTCCCCCCCTCATCTTTCCCTTGCCACCCATATCTGCCACCACCCACCCCCAGTTCCCCATCCCAGCCCAGAGCCAAGCCCCAATCAGGTGATCAAGACCTGCAGACTAGGGGGAGGGACCAGGAAGTAGGCTGGCAGGCCTTATCAGTGATCGGGGCCTGTGGGCTGGGGGCAACTCCTACGTTGAATGTCTGCCCCCTGGTGGTCAGTGTGCATCGTAGCGACCAGTCATTCTGGTCGTCCCATTGTAATGATCGCTTAGGCTTTTATATATAGAGATTTAAAAAATTAAGTAAATAAATCAGCATCTTTGTACCTATAACCTGAACAGAAGAGAAGGAATGCTTCTTGTTCTCGGGTGGGCGTGTATTACCTTTACATAATAGTATCTGAGGGCTCGGCTGAGCTTGTCGTAGTTCATATTAGGCTTGTTCTTACGAATCCCCCAGAGCCGAGCCACCTCTTCCGCCTGCAGAAGCTTGAACTCCCCGTTGTCAGAGGTCCAGCAGATCATGTGCTTGTTCTGAGGCTCCTGCAGGAGCTGAAGAAGGAACTGCCATAGGGTGATAGCACTGTCCATAGCAATGAGCTGGAAGAGGCACACAGGGAGAGACACAACAACATTAGCAGCTGACGCTCCCAGATCACTGTACATCAGGCACTGTTTTAAGTGCTCCAAATATATGACTTCTGTTCATTCCCACAGCAGACATGATTGCAGCCTTATTTTATTTATAGAAAAACTGATTCATAAATAGCTGCAGCAATCCTGAGAAAGAAGAACAAAAAAGGAGGGATCTCAATATCAGATATCAAGCTGTATTACAAAGCCACTGTTCTCCAAACTGCCTGGTACTGGCACAAGAACAGACATATAGACCAATAGAATAGAATAAAGAACCCAGAGGAGAAACCAAGATGGTGGCATAGGTAAACACCTGAATTTGCTGCCTTGCACGACAACTTCAAAACTATAACTAAAAGACAAAACAGACATCATCCAGAACCACAGGAAGGCTGGCTGGTTGGAAATTCTACAACCTGAAGGGAAGAGAAAAGCACACTATTAGGAGGAACTGCGGAAGTAAAGGCAGAAGTATGGATGCTAGCACACAAAGAGGGCTGGCAACTGAGTAGGTGGCTGACATTTTCAAGCGAGAGGGAAACAAAAGCTCCCAACTGCTCTGAACTCCAGTTCTGGATGAGACTCTGGGGACCTAAACTCATTCGGGGAGAAACTGGACTGACTGGCCGTGGGCGAAACTCGAAGGCGGCTTTCTCTCAGAGGTGCTTGTAGCAATTACCAAGGGACATTGAGATCCAGGCAGGGCTGAACGGAAGCCATTGCTGTTTGCTCTGCCCTGAGATTCTACCCCATCCAAACTGTGCACATATGAATGGCCTTGTCCTTTGAAATCTAAATTTACCTAACAAACTGCAGCTGAGTCACTGAGACCCAGAACATCCAAAAGAAGGCCCAAGATCCCACAGCAGCTTGCACTGCTTCACAGCTGGGCCTCATCTGGGCACTTCCAAAATCCAAACAAAGAAGAGGAATCTGCAGATCTCCACATAGCTTCTGCTGGATGGCCTCAGGAAGAGGCTAAATTAGCACCTCCTTGGAGATCCAAGAGGCAGTGTACCAAAGGGTCAGAGTAAGACCTCCAGATTACAACTCCTCAGATCCATAAGGGACACACTCAGGGGGAAGACTCAGTGAGCACCAAAGCCCCACTGAAGCAAGTCTTGCCTCATAAGGGTGTCTCCAGCACAGAAGATCACCCATTGTAGACACAGCTGATCCTTACAGCCAATTGGCCTGGAGGTCAATTCTTCTCAGTGATACCAACAACAATCAAGGCTTAAATACAACAAGATGGTGCACACAGCCCACAAAGGGGTGCACCAAGAGTGTCCACCTCAGGTAACTGGGGAGGCTGAGCCACTGGGCCCTATAGGACACCTAGCATACAAAGCCACTCTATCAACCCAAGCTCACAAATGAAAGAAATGGAGAAAAGCAAATGACTGGAAATAGAGTTCAAAACCACGTTTATAAGGTTTTTCAAGAATTTCCTAGATAAGGCTGATAAATTTAGTGAGACCCTTCAAGGATATGAAAAAAGACCAACTAGAAATTAAGCATACACTGACTGAAATAAAAAATAGTATACAGAGATCCAGCAGCAGACTAGAGGATCACAAATATCAAGTCAAAGGTTTGAAAAACAAAGAAGCAAAAAACACTCAACCAGAAAAGCAAAAATAATCCAAAAATATAAAGATAGTGTAAGGAGCCTGTGGGACAACTTCAGGCGTACCAACATCAGAATTATGGGGGTCCCAGAAGAAGAGAGCGAGCAAGATATTGAAAACCTATATGAAGAAATAATGACTGAAAACTTTCCCCACCCGGTGAAAGAAATAGATTTACAAGTCCAGGAAGCACACAGAACCCCAAACAAAAGGAATCCAAAGAGCACCACACCAAGAAACATCATAATTAAAATGCCAAAAGCAAAAGACAAAGAGAGAATATTAAAAGCAGCAAGAGAAAAAAATTATTTACTTACAAGGGAGCACCCATACGACTGTCAGCTGATTTCTCAACTATGCAGGCCAGATGGGAGTAGCAAGAAATATTCAAAATGATGAATAGCAAAAACCTACAACCAAGACCACTCTACCCAGCAAAGCTATCGTTCAGAATTGAAGGTCAGATAAAGAGCTTCATAGACAAGAAAAAGCTAAAGGAGTTCATCAGTGCCAAACCAGTATTATATGAAATGCTGAAGGGTATTCTTTAAGAAGATAAAGAAGAACAACAAAGGTAAAGATAAAAATTATGATCAACAAATACATATCTATCAACAAGTGAATCTAAAAATCAAGTGAATAAAAAATCTGATGAAAAGAATAAACTGGTGAATATAATAGAATCAGGGGCATAGAAAGGGAGTGGACTGACAATTCTTGGGGGGAAAAGGGGTGTGGGGGTGCAGAAAGAGACTGGACAAAAATCATACACTTATGGATGAGGACAGTGGGGGAGAAGGGGTAAGGGCAGAGGGTGTTGTGAGAACCAGGTGGAGGGGAGCTATGGGGGGAAAAAAGAGGAACAATTGTAATAATATGAAAAATAAGGATTTATTAAAAAAAAAAGAGAGAGAGAATAGAGAACCCAGAAATCGACCAAAACCACTATGCTCAATTAATATTTGACAAAGGAAGCAAGAGTTTACAATGGAGTCAAGATAGTCTCTTCAATAAATGGTGTTTGGAAAATTGGACAGGTACATGCAAAAAAATGAAATTAAGCCAACAACTTACACCATACACAAAAATAAACTTCAAATGGATAAAGGACTAAAATGTAAGATAGGAAACCATAAAAATCTTAGAGGAATCCATAGGCAGCAAAATCTTAGACATATGCCGAAGCAATATCTTCACCAATACAGCTCCTAGGGCAATGGAAACTAAAGAGAAAATAAACAAATGGGACTACATCAAAATAAAAAGCTTCTGCACAATAAAAGAAACTATCAATGAAACAACAAGAAAGCCCACTGCAGGGGAGAACATATTTGCCAATGTTATCTCCAATAAGGGTTTAATCTCCAACATTTACAAGGAACTCATACAACTTAACAAATGGAAGATAAGCAACCCAATCAAAAAATGTGCAACGGACCTAAATAGATACTTTTTGAAAGAGGACGTAAGGAAGGCCAAGAGACACATCAAAACATGCTCACAGTCACCAATCATCCAAGAGATGCAAATCGAAATGACAATGCAGTACCATCTCACACCTGCCAGAATGGCTATCATCAACAAATCAACAAACAAGTGCTGGTGAGGATGCAGAGAAAAGGGAACCCTTGTGCACTGCTGGTGGGAATGCAGACTGGTGCAGCCACTGTGGAGAACAGTATGGAAATTCCTCAAAAAACTAAAAATGGAACTTCCATTTGACTCAGTAATCATACTTCTAGGAATATATCCACAGAAACCAGAAACACCAATCAGAAAGGATATATGCACCCCTAGGTTCATAGTGGCACAATTTACCATGGCTAAGATTTGGAAACAGCCTAAGTGCCCATCAGCAGATGAATGGATTAAAAAACTGTGGTACATCTACACAATGGAATGCTATGCTATGGTAAAAAAAAGGAACTTTTACCATTTGCAACACCATGGATGGACCTGAAGAGCATTATGCTAAGCGAAATAAGTCAGTCAGCCCTAACTGGTTTGACTGAGTACATAGAGCATCAGCCTGTGGACTGAAGGGTCCGAGGTTCGATTCCAGTCAAGAGCATGTACCTTGGTTGTGGGCACATCCCCAGTAGGGGGTGTGCAGGAGGCAGCTGATCAATGTTTCTCTCTCATTGATGTTTCTGTCTATCCCTCTCCCTTCCTCTTTGTAAAAAAAAATCAATATATATTAAAAAAATAAGTCAATCAGAGAAAGATAAATATCACATGCTCTCACTCATTTGGGGAATATAATGAACAACATAAACTGATAAACAAAAACCGATCCAGAAACAGAACCAACAAACCTCAGAGGGAAGGTAGGGGAGGATGGGGGTAAGGGAGAGGTCAACCAAAGGACTTGTATGCATGTATCGATATAAAAGCCTAGCCAATGGATACAGACACCAGAGGGGTGAGGGCATGAGTGGTGAATGGGGGTGAGAGGCAATGGGAGGATAAGGATACATATGTAATACTTTAATAATAAAGAAAGAAAAAAACCGGATTCATATAAGAGCTAAATAATTTGTCTAAGATCACACAAGCAAACGATGGAGCTGAGACTTAAACCTAGGCAGTGGAATCCAGAGTCTAAATGCACAATCATGCCACACTGCTTAAGGGAAGTCTTGCTTGGGAGACAAAGCCAGTTCCATAAATTATAGGAGCAGCCTGACGCCTGCCAATCACTAGACCAGAGTATCACTGTTATTAAATTTATCGTATTGTACAAGCTCATTGTCGTATTCTCTGAGGAGACCACCATTCCGGCATCTATCTTAATCAGCCCAGTTGATTTATTTGCCAGGATGTGTATGTGTGTGTCTCAGTGTGGCCCGGGGGTATAGAATAATCCACTTCTGCTCCACTGGTATTTCTCCTTCAAATGGTTTCCATTATCACAAATATAATTTACATATAAATTGGCAGCACTGAAAATTGGGCAAAATGTTCCCTGATTTCACCTGAAAATTCTGTCACCATCTATCTGCCCACAGGGGTTTTTTCCGCATAGATCCGCCATTTATTTATTTATTTAAGAATCGTTTGTTAATTTCTAAAGAGAGGAAGGCCACGGGAGAGACAAAAACATCCATGTGAGAGAGAAACATCAATTGACTGCCTCTGTACGCCTATTGGGGATCGAACCCACAACCCCAGGCAGGTGTCCTCACCAAGAATCAAACAGCAACCTTTCCTTGCACGGTACCATGCCCAACCAACCCAGCCACACTGGCCGGGGCAATCCACCTTTAATTTGATTAGAAACCTTTATTTCATTATCAAGATATGAGCTGAAAAATCCTTCAATATCCCAAGTTT